AATCCAGGGACGTGTTTTTTGAACAAGTTTGGAACCCGATTCCCTGTTAGGGAGGAACCGGTTCCTGAAAGTTTATTTTCAAAAATTCTTTTTGAAAAAGATTTCAATCAAGGTTTTTCTTAACATTAAAAATGTGGGATATGTATATGATTATGAATGCATATTTGTGAACATCTATATTCAAGTTTAAGAATTATTTATACCTTTTGACATTTGTTGATTCTTCAATAATTCTTCTTCTAATCTTCAAGACTTGTATATGATATTGATAAGCTTTTTGCACATCCTTTGAATGTTGATATCCATGTTGTCTTCATCAAAACTAATGCTTTAAATATGACTTGAGAAGCTTGCAATTACAGACTTTTTCACCTTCTTCATCTTCAGAATTTGAATGTTCCGAGTCATCCCATGATGCCATCATATAGTTTTTTCTTGAAGGGAAACCCCTTTGGAATCTTTTTGATTAAGGGATATTCTATTTTAAAATGCCCTACTTTGTTGTAGCCATAACATGTGATTTTGCTTTTGTCAATTTCCTTTTTTCTTTGAAAAGGTCTTTGATTTTGATTTCTTCTGAAGATCATTTGTTGAATTCTTCTAGATATCAAGGCTAAATCATCTTCATCTTCAGACAGGAGGACCATTGAGTCCTCAGTTTTCTTTTAAGATCTTGTGAGGATGTCTCTCCTGAAATACTTTTGTATATTGATTATCTTTAAGTGCATTCATTTTAACTTTCTTTTTTGGTTTGTCTTCATAGATCAGGCTTTCATGAGCATGTAGTGAACCAATGAGTTCTTCAACTTGAAAGACTTTGAGATCTTTTGCTTGAGTAATTGCTGTGACCATGGGTCCCCACATCTTTGCAAGACTTCTAAGAATTTTTCTTATTCTTTCATGAGGTGAATAAGTTTTTCCAAGAGATCTAAGTTTATTAGTGGTGCATTCTTCTATTCGATCATACTCTTCTCTGCTTAAAGCACATGATAATATAAATCGAGCTTTAGAGTTTAGTAATACCTTATCACTTTCATGTTTGTTCCATTCAATTTGAAATTTTTGGACTGAAGGTGTTGCATCTATTCCGGTAGTCATAGGTATGAAATTTCCATTCTCAACAACTGACCATATATTATTGTCTTGAGATATGATAAATAATTTCATTTTTCCCTTCTAGTAGTTGTAGTCAGATCCATTGAAGAATGAAGGTTTGTGGGATGATCCTCCCTCGGCTATGAACTTTGTTTGTTCAGACATCTCTTTTTGGATCTTTTACTCTAATATTGTTAAGTATTTTTATTAAGAGCCCTGAGCTCTGATACCAATTGAAGTAAATAGAGATGTCACGAGAAGGGGGTGGGGGTTGAATATTTGACCCTTTTAAAATTTAGTTTTTAGCCAAATATAAAATACAGTTTCTAAAGCTTTCCTTGGAGAAGAAAGGTTAGTATAAATCTTAAATGATATTTAGTGTTTTTTTTTTTTTAAGAATGTGATTATCAATAGAACAAATGGACATAGTAGATTTTAATAGAGATCACACAAGAGAGTTATCATGGTTCACCAATGTGGTTAGTCCAGTTCCCACAGTCTATGAGATTTTCTTTACTGATTTTGATAAACTTTATTCTTGTGTGCACCTTTACAACTATATATTTTCTCAGTCTCACCAGGCTTACAATACTGATTAATATAACTTCAGTAAGCTTACATAGAGAAACCAAGCCTTTTTATATCATTTGAAGATATACACTTTGTAAAATAATTGTTTCAAAGATTCTTTACAACTTCACCATATGGTAGTGAGAGGTTGAGTTGTGTATCTTTGATAGTGTGAATGTTTTGGTGTATGAAAGATAATGATCCTTTTGCTTTTGAATGATAATGAATATATATATATATATATATATATATATATATATATATATATATATATATATATATATATATATATATATATATATATATATATATATATATATATATATATATATATATATATATATATATATATATATATATATATATATATATATATATAAACTACTTTGATTAATTTTTTTGGTTGGGTGTTCTTGATCTTTTGAATTAATTAATTTTAGAGTTGAATATCAAATTTCATTATATTTATAATGAAGTATTTTTCATCAGAGAAAATTTTATTATTTAAAATTTATTGACTCTAAATTTTGTCATAAAAACAAAAGTGTCGTTAAATAAATATATATTTGGATTGATAGAAGGAGTGAAATAAAACCGAATAGAATGATATAAATTTATGTTCTATTCTTTCGATTGATACAAGAGAGTGGAATAAAACGGAACATAATGATATAAATTTATACATCCTCTAGTCACTATTATAAACAAATTTTATTTTTTGTGGTACGTTTGGTTTTTAGTGTATTTAATTCATATATAGACTATATAGACTAACATTCAAATGTATCACAAAAACTGAAATTTATTTATAATAGTGATCAGAAAGTATATTCTATTATTTGAATTGATTAAAAATAGATGAAATAGATCGAAAGCAGATGAAATATATTCTATCTCATTCCATTATATTATTTTTTATACTTTTCAATTTGAATGGAATGACAAAATCTTTCGATTCTATTATAAAATAGTTAAACAATAGAATGCCATATGCTTTACTCGGTTCTACTCTATTTCATTTAGCTCTGATAATTTTACTATATGATAGCCTAAGAATCTACTAACTAGAATAGAATTCAAATAGTATATGTCCATTGGGAAGAAATAGTGTTTTAGAAAAGAAAAAAGATGCGTTTTTTAATAAAGTGGGTGGAAATAGCATACAACATGATTTAGATTCGGGCTTACAGGCCCAAATACATAACTCAAACAAGCCCAATCATCCCATTCTCGCCTCTTCTTCTTCTTCCACAATTCAGTTCCGACGTTGTCTACAGCAACCTCCGACCTACCTACCCACCGCCGTTCCATAATCAACAACATTCCAACGCCCCCACCGTTCTTCTCTGGTTAGTTTTTACTCTTACTGTTCAAATTTTTTTCTATTACTGAGAGAGAGATATTTCGTCCATGCTCCATTAGGTTTATGTATCAGAACATCTTAGTTGAATCTTAGAGAGATATATGTTTTTTTAAAGAGGTGTTGCAACACTGATTACGGTAGTCCGGTGTGAATTAACCATAGTTAGTTCTTTATCATAGAAATAATGAATAACGATATCGGTATCGGCATCAGAATCTTCTGATACGGTTTTGTCGCGACTGTTTTCGCGGTAAAGAAAGTATGAGTATAAGGTGGCCAAGAGTGTTAAATCCAACTCAGCTTTCTCAGATTATAACAACTCAAAAAAACCCTTTAAAGGCCTTGGAAATTTTCAACCAAGCCAAATCAAAATACCTTAAATACTCCCACAATGGTCCTGTATACGCCACCATGATCACCATCCTAGGATCTTCAGGTAGACTCAAAGAGATGAAGGATTTGATTGAACAAATGAAACAAGATTCATGTGAATGCAAAGATTCAATCTTTGTGTCTGCTATTAAAACATATGCTAAACAAGGGTTACTAGATGAAGCAATCTTGCTTTATAAGAACATTCCTCAGTTTAACTGTGTGAATTGGACACAATCTTTCAATACCCTTTTGGAGATAATGGTGAATGAGGATAAGCTTGAGGATGCTCATAGACTTTTCGTTGAGAGTTCTTGTGGTTGGGAAGTGAAGTCTCGCGTTTGCGCGTTGAATTTGCTTATGTATGCTTTGTGTAGGAAGAGTCGATCGGATTTGGCGTTGCAGATATTTCAAGAGATGGATTATCAAGGTTGTTATCCTGATAGAGATAGTTATCTTATTGTGATGAAGGGGTTGTGTAAGGATAAGAGGTTACATGAGGCTACTCATTTGTTGTATTCGATGTTTTGGAGAATCTCTTTGAAAGGGAATGGCGAGGATGTTGTGATATATAGGACACTTTTGGATGCTTTATGTGATGATGGAAAGTTTGACGAAGCTGTGGAAATTCTCGGGAAAATTTTGAGGAAAGGACTGAAAGCTCCAAAGCGATGCTATACCCGACTTGATCTTAGTCAGTGTGGGGATGGTAAAGATGCGGAAGTTACTAAACGGTGGATTCACGAAGCTTTGGTGAGGGGTTCAGTTCCTAGCACTGCGAGTTATAATGCCATGGCAGTTGATCTATACGAAGAAGGTAAGATAGACGAGGCTGATAAAGTTATCATTGAAATGAAAAACAAAGGCTTTAAACCTAAACATTCGATTTTCGAGGCAAAGGTAGCTGCGTTGTGCAAGGTTGATAAAGTCGATGAAGCAATCGAGGTAATTGAAAAGGACATGGTGGAAGTCAACTGTCTACCAAATGCTAGAGTTTATAGTATTCTCTTGAAAAACCTTAGGAATGTTGGAAATTCGACATTTGTGCTCGAGAGCTTGAACAAGATGTCAAAAAAGGTAGGTTGCACGGGCGACAAAGAAACTTATAGCATTTTACTCGAGATGCTTTGTTGCGAGAGAAGATATCTTGAAGCAAGCCAACTTTTGGAGCAAATGTCGATTAAATCATATTGGCCTTGTGCGAATAGTTACAATTTGCTCATTGAGGGTCTTTGTTCCTTAGGTAGGCAATACGAAGCTGTTATGTGGTTGGAGGACATGATAAGTCAAGGAAAGCTTCCTGAAATTTCTGTTTGGAATTCATTAGCATCTTCATTTTGTAACTCAGAGATGATGAAAGTGTCAGTCGAGACATTTAGTCGCATAAGAAGTTTGTGATTCTGAATTCTGGTGTAAAATTTAACAATTATATAATGAATAGAATCGTGTACTACCATTTTTTCGAATATACTTATGCTTCTTCATTAGCTTTAAAGCATTGCTTAATTGTTTCACCTTTTCTGGACCATTGATTTGGTGAGTTAGTCTTCAATAAGATCCATTTTTCGCTGTTTTTGTACTTTGCTTTTCTGTTGATAGGTTAACTTTTCTTCAGCTTGTTAATGCTCCTTCGACCTTTATACAGCCCCTGAGCGTCAAACCTGGTATGTTTGGAATGACCGAGTGGCCAATTAATTCGGCACTGAACACAACCCTTGAGCGTCAAGCTTGAAAGAGCAAAGATGTTTCGAGTGACCGAGGTTCCAAACAATTCTGTACCGGACAGACACAACCCTCTGTGGCAACGACTTGATCGCAGTACAGGCTCACCGCAACAATACTGATTGATGAGATCTAAAAAAAATGGGCGAATTAGCCTAGTCTGTTGCCTCAATTTGCGGCTGGTTATGCGTCAACAACATTGTAACTGAAAACCCCAACTGCTGAGTTTCTGGAGCAGGCTCTGACCACTATGAGCCAGATCGTGAAGACAATACCTGGATCCGAACTCTCTATCGCAAATGAGCCATTTGTTTTTGCCATTTTGATATTCTGTTTACGAGTGAGCATTGTTTACAGTAACTAGCAGCTTGACGCCATGAAAGACAATTTGTTAATATCAACTGTCAAATGAAACTTCAGCAACTTATTACTTTACTGTTTGTCTTCTCTAAATTTATCCTGTGGAAGGAGCTTCGTAGAATAGTTTTGCCATTTTGATTGAATGGTATTCTAATGCATGATCTTATAGTATAATGGAGAAAAAGCATGTTATTATTATCTAAAAAGAGATGAATATTATGCCTATCACTATTGATTCCTACCTGAAGTTACTAATATTTTGGCTTGAGATGATGTTAAAGATATGACAGATGTTCCAAAACGACAGAGGAAAAAAACCTGTGCTATCTCGATGAGAACCCGACCGCCAGTCACATGAACACTCGAGAAATCTTTTCTTACTTTCGCAAAGGTAAGTACATCAAATGTGGAAATTATGCTCAGTTATCTTTATTTATAAGCATCAAGTATGATTTTACACATTTATATTATATAATCAAAATATGTAGTTAACATATTTTACATGTTTAGGTTATATTAAAGGTTACATATTTTACATATTACCGAAAAAATACTTATTTATAACTGGAATAATATTTAGTTAACATTATTGTAAAAAGGGAGAAATAAAATTTTAGGGTTTAAGTGAAACCTTTTAGAATTATCTAGAAAGATTATATATTGGGAATTGTAGAGATTGAGAAATACTTAAATAAAAATTAGTAAAGTGTATCTTGAATTTGAGTGATTTATATATTGAAAGTTTGTAGAGGTTGAGAAATATTTGAATAGAAAATAATAAAGTGTGTTGGTTGAGTTTTTTATGATCTCCCCAACCTTTATATTAAAAGAAGATTTCATAAAAAAGTTTAAAAAAATTGGTAAATTATAGCGGTATAAATGTGAACATTAGGGCGATTTCAACGGTCACAATTCTCAAAAATTGTGTTTGTATGTAATATCACCTGGACAAACACTATAAAAAATGGTAAATTGTGTCATGCTAAATGTGAATATTATGGTGGTTTCTCCGCCACAAATCTAAAAAATGAAACATTTTAATTTAAATATCGTTATTAATTGAGTAAATGATTTGTCTGATTAGTATTATCTGAATAAACATATATAGGTGCAAAATACGATGTTTAAACATAATTATTAATTGATTAATGGGTTTGTTCAGATAGTATTATCCAGATAAATATTATTCCCTTCATTTTTATTTATAAGTAAATTTTAACTGTTTGCATTTATTTATTATAAGTAAATTTTAACTGTTTGTATTTATTAAATAAATAATGTATTTATTCTTTATATTGTCCAAATATAATATTTATTCAATAAATTTAAAATACTAAAATTTATTTATAAATAGGAATGGAGGGAGTACAAAAAATACTAGTAAATTGTGGCAGAATAAATGCAAAAATTATGACGATTTCAGCTGCTACAAATTTGAATAATGGACTTGATTAAATAATAATAAACTAAAATGTTTCAAATTTTATTTGTGTAATTTATTATGGCCGAGTGGCTGAGCATGGTTATGTAGCATCAGTGTGTGGGTTCAAATGCCATTTTTTTTTTGCATTTTGTATATTTTTTATTTTAAGAAAAAATATTAACACATAGGATTGTTTTTGAAATTTATTATTAACCCTTAACCCACAATATTATATAATATTGAAGTAAATTTTTTATCTTATGAAGCCTACAACTTAAATATTTTTCAAATTTTATTTTCTTTCAATTTCTTCAAATTTTATTTTAAATAATAATATTTTAACAATTATTATAATTAAATAATTAAAATTTTATTATATGATTAATTAATTTGTTATTAATATTTTTCTAATGAAATATTATATTATAGTCTTTGTGGATATAAAATTTTACTTTTTAATAATATTTTAAAATTTTAGTAAATTTATTATTATTTATTTATTTAGATTATTATTAAATAGATAGTGATCGTACCTGATCAGAAGGGATCGTTGATGGTCCATAAGCTAAAATTGAATGACTGTTGAAGTGAAGTAGGGGGTACCTACAAGACACTCTGATGTCAAAGTAAGGTTCAGAGTAAATGCAAGTAATGAAAGTGCGTGGAATGAATGAATAGCTGACCCTTTCATGTGAGAGAGTATTTATAGCTTCAACGTTGGGCCAAGATCGACACATTGGGCCAAGCGATTAGACCCAATAACGAAGACTGCCCGTGTTACGTGTGTAGCGAAGTCCAGCACGTGGCCTCCTCCCTGGTCAATTGCCTCGAGATAATAGGAAAGTCGTGTTGCAACTGATTTTTAAATCAGAGTCACCACCCTTAATTTTTATCCTAAAGGAAGGGAGTATAAAGGAATAACTCTAAAGTTCAGAGATTCTAAATTTGGACTCGGTTCTAGACGAGGGGAAGGTGTTAGGCACACCTTATCTACCTTGTTCGCAATGATACTAGGTTTAGAAGCGCGTTTTTAGGAAATAAGGTTTTTTAGTATAATTGAGGGAAAATGGTTTTGATTTTAGTTAGGGAGACTCGTCATGATTTTAATCGTATGCCTACGTATCCTCTTAGGAGGAATCAGAGTCTCATTTCGTAGTTCGCAGTTGGTTGGTGTTTTCTATGGATTGTAGAAATGTCTCAATTTTCTTTGAACCAAATTCGAGTTTGTAAATTGCAGAATCGTGGATATAGCTCGCAGTCGATAAAATATATTAATACAATCCTTTTTAAAAATGAATATGAATTTGATTATATTAATGGGAGAATGTCAGTGTTTATCGGTTAGTTATTTTCAATCGTACAATGCAATTATATAAAATTGGAAGTGAAAAGTTTGCAAATATAAAAAAGGTTAGTATTTTTAGAAATAATAAATATATTATAATTTTATTAAATATTTTTAAAAATACTATAATTATTTATTAATGTGAAAAAAACAATTTTTATGTAAATATAAATATATAAATGAACATATAAATAAATTATAAAAGAAAAATAAATAAATAAAATTAATTTCACAGGAGTGCAAATTATTCTAAGTTAGCAAAATAAGGGGGGTCTTAATAGGAGGGGCCTGAATTCAGATATTGAATTTAGGCCCAAAAAGGCAAGGGGGTGAGTTCGCGTGCTAGAAAAAAGAATAAATAAAAAGGGGTGCGATCAGAAATTGGGCCTAGCTCAGTGAACACACTTTTGATCTGTTCGAATCAGGTGTGGGGGAGTGCATCGTTAAGGTCGTGGACACGCATGCGAGGGGCGCGTGATCATGATTATGTGGCTTAGATTGAGGGTGCGTGACTATTATGGTAGGCTGCGCACACTAGATTATTGAGTACAACATATTTTATTTTAGTTTTAAAAAACTCAATTAGTCGTATACCATTCTTTCTATATCCTGCTTCCTTCTCTCTTTCTTGTTTCATTCGTTCACCTTCTCTCTCTCTCTCTCTCTCTCTCTCTCTCTCTCTCTCTCTCTCTCTCTCTCTCACACACACACACACACACACACACACACACACATAACAACCCAACCCTAACCCTCAGCGGCGTAACCTAACCTCGACCGATCCTTGTGCGGCGACGCTCCTTAAACTCAACCCCGTCCACAACCCAAATCATATTTGCTATTATTCTGTATCTACGTTCGTTAGTTCTGATCCCTCTCTTCTCTCGTGAGTCTCGCAGGTTTAATGATAACGATGGAAGCGACAATTTGAAGGTGGCAGCTCGAAGAGATCTTAGGGTTTCAGATGTTGAAACCCTAGATCTAGGATGAGACTGCGACCTCTTTGTGACGAATCTCTCCCCCGTAATCTCTCTGTCTGTAATTCTTCGTTGTAATTTTCGGTTTTTTGTCACAATTTCTCTTCTGTCCCTTTCTCTGTAATCTCTTATCTATTTTATAGTGATTTAGGATTAGTAATTTAAGAATTAATTTAAATTCGTTTGATTATGCTTGTCTTAGAATTTTAGGAAAATAGTGAATTTGTCTGTAAATTAGTGTTTCAGAATTGATTAGGGTTTATGTATTAGGAATTTTTTTGAATGTTTGTCTATAAATTCAAGAACATTATGAACGTTTCTATTTTTGTACATGAGCAGATTAATTAGTTACTGTATTTGGCTTGGTTTGATTCTGTATTGAATCTGCAAGAGATTTTTTGATTATTGATTCGTTTAAGATTTGTTTGGAATTTGGATAGTTAGGATTTGATTTAGTTTTGATTTATACAATATTAGTTTTTTATTACACACACTTCTCTTTAATCAATATGTACAGCAACTGTTCTTAAATTTTGGGCCACGCGCTTGTGGGCTTGTAACAGATCATCTAATGGCCGTTTTTTAAACTCTTTTTTTCCTCAATTTTGATCAGAATATAATAATAAAAAAAATATTACGCAAAGTTTTAATGATAATGTTAAAAAAATGCAATTCTTAACAAACAAGAACTAAAGATGGGCCAAGTGATTTTTACTTATTGGGCATGGAACGGTTCGTTTTGGACTGTGAAAGAAAAAACCTCGTCAATAAAAAAATCATTTTTAATTAAGTTTATATTATACTATTTTAATTATAATAGAATGATAAAATTATAATTAAAACAAAAATACTTATTCAAAACAAACTTAATAGCTGACTTGGGCCATAATTTCTAAATATTAGGCATTGTTTTCCTGATTTATAACAAAAAGCACTCTTTAATCGAATTGGGCCTGTGATGATTTAAATAAATACAAACTCCCTTTCTTTTACAACAAACGAAATTAATCTTAATGGGCTTGACTGTCTTACTCTAGGTCTCAAAAAAGCGAATTACCCATACACTTCTTTGATTGGGATGTACACCCTTCTTCACTTATTTTAAGACACAATTTTACCACTCTAATGGGTCATTCTCATATAGGAGGCCCAAGAGTTCTTTAAAAAGTGTGAACCTCCCTCTTTTAGCATTTGAAATGGGCTATTACACCTTAACAAAATACACCCCTTATGAAACAGGTGG